TAAATAATATATAAATAATATATTAATATTAAATAAATAATATATAAATAATATATTAATATTAAATAAATAATATAATAATTACCATAATATTATCACAACGAATATCATGATGAAGAATTAAACATGAATGCAAGAATGTAAGACCACGACAAATTTCAAGAGCTATTTCAACTTTAGCACACCATCCAATATCATATTTTTCATAGACTTCTTTTAAGCTGCCCAATTCTGCCCATTCAAGCACCATCACTTGTGCACCATCAACAGTTGAAAGACCATAAAATTTTATTATATTATCTGACTCACGTAGCTTTCCTAGAATAGTAAATAGACCTTGTACTTTTTGATAATCTTGTGGCTTTTCCTCTTCATTGGGTATTGTGACAGTTTTGCATGCAACATCTATTGGACCTGGTTTTTTCAGAATTTTCTTAATAATATAAGGTGCTTTTCCTCGACGATCAGTTTTTTTTGGATACATAGGATCTTCTAACTCAGTTGGTGATATTTGAGCTGCTTTGATGGGATTGTCATTAGGTTGTGCATTTTTATTATCCATTGAATCAATTTGACCTTTTATAATCAAAACTTCTTGAAGTACTGTATTGAGTTGTTTATTATTATCAACAATGCCACCATGAATAGCATCTAAAAACTGGGTTATTTTTAATTAAGAAAACTTAAGTGGGAAAAAAAATAATAATAACAGTAATAGTAATATATAATATATAAATAATCAACCTTATTCATCTCATCGAGATCTTCCTTTAAACTTTTTTGATCAATTTCATTTTGTCTCTGAGCAGACACTGTTAGTGTGAAATGTAAATCACTCATAACAGAATCAAAATCCTTGGCAAGTGATTCAAATTTGTCTTTAACACTACCTGCATTCAAAAATCTTTTGTATCCATGAAGTTGAGTTACCTGTTCAAGGAAAGCTTTCACTTGTCTCAAAACCTCAGTAAAACGTAGAAAATTTTTATAGTATGTCTCATCCTGAAATGTTTTTAGATTCTCTTCTTTTCTTCGTTGTAAATATTTAACTGATGATTGAGCAGCTTCTACACGATCAAGAAAAGCATTGCAAATTTTTTTATTATATTGAGCATTTTCATAAACTTTAATTATTTCCCCCACCAAAACAGTTACAATGCCTATAAGTGGAACAAATGGTTTAACAGCTTCACCGACTGCACCAACTACATTAACCACCTGTTTAACTGCTTCTAAATTACTACCAGTGACCGCTGAAGAAATATTCTGAGCAATGTCTATTGAATTATTCACACCATCTGTAACATCTCCAAAAGAGAGTCTTGACATGTTTTCTTTTTTTGGAAGCGTTAATTTTCTTAATTTCTTAATTTTTAAATAATTTTTATTTATTTCTTCAGAGAAAAAAGTTTAAAACAAAAAAAAAATGTTGTGCGACATATTATTTCCTTTAATAATACTTTTATTATGCTCTAAATTAGAAATATTTATTGTATTGAATTAAGTAAATGGTAAAGATCGACAACTTGATATAACAATACTAAAAATATGTTTTTTAATACAAGGCAACAACTTGTCCATCACCTCTAAGGTCACTACCACCAGCTAAAACACCTTTACCCGATCTTTTATCAATGGTTCGTTCAATGATTTGGCCTCTACCAAACATCTTTCTATTCCAACCTTTCACAATCTTCACATCATGACCAAGTTTTCTCAGTTCCTGTACAACATTCTCATCAATTCCTTCTTCCACAAATATTGGGGAAGTAAAAACTTCTTGAACTTTTTTTGGAATTCCAATACATATTCGTGGTGCATCCAGTGCTGTCTGTAGATTCATACTATGATGTAACAAGTTCAAGATAACTTGCACATGCCCTTGTGGCTTTAAACATTCCAAAATAAAAAATAGTTTAATCGATTGATTGTAGATTTATCATATAATTTCATAAATATAATTATCAATTGGTATAATTGATATATAAATACCTGCATAAATCCCCCCATAACTATTGTTAATATTAAATAAATAGTATTTTAAAAATAAAACTTTTTTTTTAACAAGATGATAAAAATTAGAAAAAATATTATTACCTCCGAAAGTTAACCATAACTCATTTCCTTTTGTCACCATTGAAGGTATTATAGTATGATATGGTCGTTTGGATGGTTCAAGACAATTTGGATGTCCTTCTTTTAATACAAATCCCACTCCACGACTTTGAAGTGGGAAACCACAACCTTTTGGAATTGCTGCCTACAAAATTAATAAATTAACCGATAAATTAATATATATATATATTAATATATATTGAATTATGAAAAAATAAATTAAAGGAGAAATTTACCGTTCCAAATCCCAAATAATTTGAATTCTTTTTAAAACAATTTCATTAAAAAATATAATTTAAATATAATAATAATAAATGTTTAAAAGTTTCTTAACGTACAATAAAACTACATGCATTTCCTTCTTTATCTACTACTGAAAAATATACAGTATCGCTCGAGTTAATAGGCGATCCTTTTTGAACATCTACAGAAGCCTTTGTAGGATCAAAAAGTTTTGCTCGCGATGAAAGATATTCCTACATTGTACATTATATATAAATAAAATATTTTACTGAATTTATTATATAATAAATTTTTATCGCACCTTTGATAGCAATTCTTTTACAGGAACATTGTGAACGTCAGGGTCTGTCACATAATATGTAGAATCAGCAAATGCTAGTCGCAAGCTTTCAATTAACGCGTGTAAATATTCCACAGAATTATGTTCAAGTTTTTGAATCTCAGGAATTTTTCCAGATTCTTGAAGCGATTCCAGAATACCTAATGCTATCAAGGCAGTTATACCTTGTCCATTTGGCGGACATTCCCAAACAGTAACACCTTTATAATTAATGCTAATAGGTTCTACACGAGTTGTGGTGTGAGATTCAAGATCTTCTAAAGACATTAAACCTCCTTTAGATTCCATTAAATCAACAATTGCCTGAGCAACACGACCTTTAAATTAAAGTTATCTATCAATGAGTATCAAAATAATAATAATTTGCAATAGGTTACATAAATTGTGCTAATTTTTTACCTTTATAAAATCCATCCTTTCCTTTTTCAGCCAAATCTCTAAATGTCCTATGCATAATTAATAATTGTTATATTATTATTATATTATTTATAAAAAAAATTTTTTACAAAGTGATTTGTTAAAATCATACCTAGCCAGGGTTGGAAGATAGATAATTTCGCCTGTTACTGGTGCACGGCCATCAATTAACAATTCATGCGCATTTGGTGATGCTTTAAGAAGACTATCTTCTCCATTCTTCCACTATTTTTTTTTTTTTTAAATAATAAATGTGCATATTAATAATTTATCGATTAATAATATTTTTTATTTAAGAAAAAATACACACACCTGCCATGCACTTATTTCTGAAACCAGATAACCATTTTCAGCCAAATCAATAGCAGGCTTTAAAATTTCAATCATTTTCAATTTACCACTACCAAACCAATCCACAGTATCAATCCATCCAGCAGCAGCACCGGGAACTGTTGCAGAATTGATATTGGAGTGAGGCATACGATCATCACCGATTCCAACAACATCTCTTATGTATTGCAAAGTAAGTTTTTTAGGAGATCTAAATTTTATAACAAATGATGATAAATAACTCTCGATGATAAAGTCACAAATTATCAGAATAAAAAATTTTATACGATTACCTTCCTGATCCATTCAAACCATGTACTTTTTTTGTTTTTGCATCGTAAAACAAACAAAAACAATCACCACCGATACCGGTTGATGATGGTTCTAATATAAACACATGTGTCATGTGTGTACATCTTTACATATATATATATATAATATGCGCACAGATATCATCTTGTGGAAAAAAATTTTAAAAACAAAAATTACCTGTTACATTCAAAGCAGCAGCTATTAACAAAAAAAAATTTTTTATAAGAAAAATTATAAATTCAAATTTAAAATAATTATAAAAATTGATTAACAAACCAGTAGCTACTGCAGCATCCTAAATATCAACGAGAAAAAAGAACGATGAATTTTTATTTATAAATCAACGGTAATAACTAACGCATCATGCTTTATTTCTTTTTATTACCGCAGCATTGCCACCCTTTCTTAAAATTTCTAAGCCTACTTGACTTGCTAATGGTTGACTAACAAAAAACAAAAAAGGTTTATTATTTTTTTATGAAATCTTTGTTCTTTCTTTCTTGCAATTTACCTGCTTGCAACCATGCCATTAATACCATAAACCACAGACCTACGTGAAGGAAAACGAACAAAATTATTATTATTATGAATAGTAGTCATGATTTTTTATTCTCAAAATTCGGATAATTCAGGGTTTAAAATGAACCATAGTTTAACTGGGGGTCAAACTGCGGTTCTATATTAATATGTTGATCGTAACGTCTTTGTCCCCGTTTTTTAGTGTTAACTTCTCAGAATAGAAAAACACGATATCATAAAATAAATCAAGTGTTAGAATTTTTGACAATTGGTAAAAAGTCACTTCTATTCAATCAGTGATAATATATGTATACTGTATATATAATTGAACCGCAGTTTGAATCGTGATTTAGTATGTAAATAGTAAACAGTGTGTGGCTCATGGGTCAAACCCAGCAGTTTATGAACCGAGCTGATCCCATTCCGAAAAAAAGAAGTAAAATAAAAATTATGCCAGGATACTAATACCATGTAGTAAATCGGAAATTCTGATCACTCTTTATTATATAGTATAAATTAAAATAGGTAAAATAAATGTTCAAAGATTACCGGTGTAATCTTTTTTATGAAATCAAAATGCCATTAAAAATCCAGTTTGGAAGTGCACTTTCAATATATATTGTAAGTATTAAGTATCTTATAATTGCATTATATATTCATATTACTTTTTAGGGCTTTGGAGCCGATAATAATTCTTAATTGGCCTTGCCCATACTATAAATTTACTGTTGATGAGTGGAACCATTGTTTTGCTGTACTATAAATTATACGAATAAAAGTCAACACATTATCTCTCAAATATTAAAGGAATTTGTACCCTGATCCGTGATCATTGATTATTCGTTAACAATCACATAGTGTTCATAAATTGAATTATAGTAAATGCATCCCAGTTCACATATTAATGTGTTCTTCAAATAATACTCAAAAGAAAATGGTTTTTTTCTTCAAATTTTTTATTTATCAAATATTTTGAATATCATTAATATTCATTACTTGTTAAAAATCAAAAAGGAAATTAATTCAATTGTGTTCCTTTGCTTTACAACTTGTTAACACTGGTAGAAATTTTTAGGTTTGAAAATATTTTGTCAGCGATATAATTGAGTAGATTTGTCCTTTTAACTAATGTTTTAATATTATAAACCAATTTTATTCCATGATTTATCAACATTTATCTTTGTCAAAACCAAAATTTTTGGCCAATTGCGATGAAATCATGGAATCTGCAATGCGCGTTTCAACAAATAACATAACCGACCTCAACCTCAAGTTTTACTTCATCTTCAACTTCAACTAAGACGTCAATTCATCTTTTATTTCAATTTCTTGAAATTAAATTAAAAAAAAGTTTCAACTCCAAGTTAAACAAAATCATTATCAACATCATCAATAAACCTCGAGAAAAATATCAAGATACACTACCATCAATCCAGAATCTGAAATCCGTATTGGGAGAATCCTTTCCTGCCAACATTAGGAAATTATAAACAAATTCATTATTTATTTGCAATATTTAGACAACTTTATCAATATTGTTGTTATTGCGATTGTAAAATCAAGAATTGAATGGATTTGAAATCGATCAAATACAACAATTTAACAACTTTAACATTGTCAAAAATTTCAAATCATTAGCACCGTCTAAATATATCAAAACAGCTGCCACCAAATCATAAAGCTAGAGACGGGTAGATCAGTACTATACGTATAGTGCGTATAGTTCTAGTAGTAAATGTAAATCAATTCCTGTTTAGATTACTGCCAAATAATAATGTTCACATAAAAATTGATTGAAAATTTAGGGCGATCTACTGTTTCAACCAATCAATCAACATATTCGTCAACCTAATTTTCAACACTGCGCATACTTTTATTAGTACAGTGGTAAATATTAATTAACCCGTTTTTTATTATTAAAAAATGTGCCGATCATCTACTTCTATCACGGATCACGAATTAATCTTTTTTTTTTACCATTGTAATTGCAGAACTAATCAAGCTTTCAAAATATCATGTTATTCATTCTAAATTATATCATATAATTGTACTTGCACACATATATCAATATATATTTTCAAAAACAATTCTTTTCTTCATTACTGATTTCCTCCTTTATCATCCATCTCACAGGCATTGATCCTTGTCACCGTGTTCTTTAGATCATATTGTTCAACTTTATTTTCAATGAAGACATACCGTCCTTTCACATTTCAAGATATCCACAATATATATATATTATGTCAACATTAACTTTAATAAAAATAAAATTATTATTGCAAAATTTAAATTTTTGAATGAATCTTTGTTGTTTGTTTCTTGATTACCATTTGAACATCCCATACCTAAAATACGATTCAATCATTGTTCACAGTTTTTAAACTCATTAGGGTGTAAATAATATTTGCACCATCCGCCATAGACATTTTTAAACAAAATATGATTCCAATTAAATATTTGCTTTGTTCAATTCTGACGTTTTGGACGGAATAAATAATCATTTCTAAAGCAAGTGTTTTTGGTTTTTTCAAATCAAATTGTCTTTACATATATACGAGTTGTGTGAATGGTTTTCCGTGTTTGACTTTGAAATTAACTACGAATAATAGTAATACACATAATATTAATAATGTGTTGGAGCTGTCTTTAATATCTGAATTTGAAACAAATATAGGCTGGTCAATATTAATATTGGTACGTAGAACGACCTTTAGATAGTACATGAGACAGGATTAGGCGCAGGTGTTTGTAGGTTTTAATTTTGAAGTTTTGAAATAGTAAAGAATCCTGGAATTCTTTTATTGTTGAATCACAATAAATCAATCACTAGAGTTTGGTGATGATGCAATTTTTATTTTATCGATCAAATCAATTAATCCTCTAGAGAAAGGCTAAACTATTTAATTGTTAAAAAACCCCCGTTATAACAAAAAAGTGTTGTACAAACAATATTGCGAGAAAATTGTTTGTTACATGCTCTGCAAAAAAAAAAAATTGAATTATGAATTAATGTTACTCTACACTACTTAAAAACACCAACATTTATTTTATATAATGTCACATTTTAAATTATTGTCATTAGAAAGAGAGGATTTTGTATCTAAAATTAATGTTGAAATGCGTAATAATGCTCTGTTTAATTCTGATGAAGAAAATAGAAAAGATTATTTTTTTTCATTAGTCCAAAAAAACAAGGAGCTATCTGAAATTGAAAAAAAATATTGTAAAAAATGGTATATTTATGATTTTGAATTATATAATGCAATGAGTGAATTGGGCAAACCAAAAGAATGCAAGAAGTGCAAATTGTCAAGATACTCTGATAAATTCTGTGAAGGTTGTATTAGTTTACAACTACAGAGTTTTTTCACCACTTGGACATCTAGAAATAACATAGTTGATAACTTTATTCAACAATGTCAAATAAAATCATCTCTGCCAAACTATATTTTAGAATGGATACCTTTTGAGCAATTTGAAGATATAACAAAGTTGACTGAAGGTGGATTTAGTTCAATTTATACTGCAGTATGGACAAGAGGTTATATAATTGATTATGATGAAAATAAAAAAGAATTTAGTCATTTTGGAGGGCAAAAAGTAGTATTAAAAAGTTTAAATAATTCAAGTAATCCAGGAAAAGGCTTTTTTGATGAGGTTGGTAGTTGTTATTTAAAGCAAAACAATATATAATACTAATTGATTTTATATTTATTTCAGGCAATTAATTATTGTAAAATTAAGTCAAATTTAATTGTTACTTGCTATGGTATAACTAAATTCCCAGACAATGGAAATTATGCAATGGTTTTAAATTATGTGCCAGAAGGAAATTTAAGGGATTATTTACAAAAAAATCATTCAAATTTAACATTAAAAGACAGAATTGCAATCATTAGATATTTATGTGATGCATTAAATGATATACATGAAAAAGATTTAATCCATTGTGATTTACATAGTGGTAATATATTATTAGAAGGAGGCACTTGTTATATTACTGATTTGGGATTATGTGGACCAGTTGATGAAAAGTCATCAAATAAAGTCTATGGAATTGTATCATATGTTGCACCTGA